ATTGTGAAAAAAAAAAAAAAAACATTCATTTCTCACAGTTCTGGAGATACAGTCCAGATCAAGGTGCTAGCGTATCTGGTGACTAGTGGGGGAGGAAGGAGGAGAGGGAGGGAGGAGGAAAAGGAGGGAGGCAGACAGAAGAAAGGGAGAAATCAACCCTGTTCATCCTGAGCAGACAAAGGCACTGAGCTAATAAACTGCTGGAATGGATAAGGTCTAGTCACTGGAACAGAGGGCCGTCAAGAGACGTCACTCCTCCTCTCTGCACCCTCTTAGTATCTTCTGAGCCTAAACTCCTTCTCCCTAGACCCATCCATGGACTCTGTGCTCACAAGGATGGAGGGCTGCCCTTGACTTGACCTCCAGAGAGCCTTTCCTTCTGTGGCAACACGGACAGAGCCCAGCCTGTGAGCCATGGTACCTGGGATCTCCTTGAGGCCCTGCTCATCTGAGTGCCTTTGGGCAGGTCACCTAATCTCTCTGACCTTCATTCTAAGTGTCCTTATCACACGCTGTGTGATCCACCCTCTGTGTGATCTCTAAGATTCCTTCCTGCCCAGAATCCCGTGACTCCATTGCTGTCTCTGCCTGCCAACCCCTGTCTCCTTGCCATCCCAAGGCTCTGGGCTCTGTGCTGACTGAGCCCTTGGGACCGCAGCCTCCCCCATCATCTCCTGCCTGAACTGGTCCCAGCTCTCAGCTCTCACACAGGCCTAACTCTTGGAGGAAAACAATGACTACCTAACACAGCACACAGATTCAGTAAACAAGGGGACACTATTTATTTCAAGTTTGGGCGCATCAGGCTGGACTCAGAGGTCATCTTGGGGGCTCACCCTGCACGGTTTTGCAAAACCTGACTGAATCCACCCAACTCGAGTTATGGTTCGGATATGAGGTGTCCCTCAAAGCTCCCGTGTCAAGGCAGGAATGTTCAGAGGTGAAAAGATTAGATGATGAGAGCTGTAATCTAATCAGTGAATTAATCCACTTGATGGATTAATAATTTAAATGGATTACCGTGTGGTAATTGTAGGCAGATGGGGTGTGAAGGAAGGGGCTGGAGGAAGTAGGTCACTGGGGGCATGCTTGGTAATTACATATCTTATTCCAGCTCCTGATGCTCTTTCTCTGCTTCTTGGCGACCATGAACTGAGCAGCTTTCCTCTGCCACACCCTTCCACGATGCTGCTCTGCCTCACATTGAACTCAGAACCACCGAGTCAGCCGACCACAAACTGAAACCTCTGAAACCATGAGCCAAAATAAACTTTTCCTCCTCTAACCTGTTCTTGTATGTCTTTTAATCACAGGGACTAAAAGTTGGTCAACACACCCAGGCCCAGTCCTTTCGCAGTCCAGGATATTTCTGGCCCAGCAGGAGCACCAGAAAACCCTTAGTGGATCCTCTTGTCTGCAGGAAGCCCCTCCTCTGCGCAGCCCATCTTCTCTTCTCCATCCTCCTCCTCCCAGCCCCAGCTCCTGGCTTCTCTTTGTCCCTTTTACTAGCCGCCTGAGCATGAAGGCCCCTCTTCAAGGAGCAAAGGGCACCCCTTGCCGTTATCCATCACGAGGACACATCGGCCGCCTGGACTGAAGAAAGCCCTAGCTAGATCCACACACTTCTCCAACTCTCAAAGGTGGAGGAGAATAGGGTAGAGGAGGCTCACAGCTGCATCTGAGGCTGGAGAGGCAGAGGAGGTGGGTGCAGATGAAGAGATTTGCCTGGGGAGGGAGGTGGGCAGGAAGTCAACTAGTATCAGTGGTCAAAGCACTGAGATGGGCTCCAAGAAGAGGCCCAAATACTGCATCCTGTCCCTCTCCTGAAGGGCTTCTCTGTCTAGCGAGGGAGGCAAGTGCATGAGACAGAACCAGTAATTGCATAAAGCACCCTGAAAAAATGCCTCATGCAGCATCCCAAGGGGGTTCAGGAAAGTCACCATGGATTCTGTCTGGAAAAAAGCAAGGTAGACACTCAAAAGAAAGTAGAATTTGAAGACTTTTGAGATCTTTTTCAGTTTTATTTGATAGTGGTGATAATGACACATCTTTGCCTCATATCTACAAAGTGGCTCCAAGGCCTTTACTCCATTCCATCCAATTCACTCATATCCACTCACTAAGTGGTTGAGCCTACTATGTGGCAGGTACTGTTGTTACCGCTGTTGACCGGTGACGAGTCCTTGCTTCCCCAAGGTCGAGGTATCACACCAGAGAAGCACGGAGAGGCAAGTTTAGAGTGGAAAATAGAAGTTTATTAAAGGACAGCAGAAAAGACTTCTCCGGGAGGAAGAAGGGGACCCAAGAGGTGGAATCCGTGGAAGTGCGGTTGTCTCCCCTTTTTATAGTTTTGGTGATGGAATGTAGGTGGAAGGCCCGAGGGGTGGGACACAGGTGGGCCAAAGAAGTAATCTGGGCAGGAAGGACTCCTGAGGCAGCATCTTCAAGTTTGCTGTTCATTAACCTTTCTTTGGGATGGGCTGTCTTCAAACCTGCTGGGGGCTGTTTCCTGGACTTCATTAACATTCTGAGAGTTGCTCAACTTCTCCGGGAATTCATTCTCATGGGCTCCGTTTTAGATCTCACTGATATTAGACCCGATTTACCTTACTTCACTGACCGCTTAACTTTAAACCTGGCTTCACTACTGTGGCTCCAGAGGTGGAAAACCCAGATTTCTGGCCTCCAAGAGTTCACCTGGTGGGACAGGAAGGAGGGCAAACATGTGAGAGCAACAAGGGCAAGTGTGAGTGGTGAGGTGGAGCCCCAAGTCACTGTGGCCGGGGAGGGAGTGTGGCGCTTACCCAGGGGCCCGAGGCAGGGGAGGAAGTCCAGGGGCAGAAGTAGAGTGGAGGGCTCTCCTTGACGCTAGAGATGGGTAGGATGACCTGGGATGTGACAGAAAGGCAAGATGGCAAAAGAACATTCCAGAACAACCCAAGCAAAGTCAGGGCCCCAGCACAAAGAGAGTGTAGTCAGGACATAGTAGGAAAGAACCAGAGACACTAGCAGATGCAGGGTCACCCTTAGGACAATCCTGGGGTCTGAAGGACCAGTCGAGGAAACATCAGAATTACTTTAAGAGCTTCTTCAAAGCACCCACATCCCCACGTACCCATTTCCCCACTTATAGATCCTTGTATTCCAAGGAGTAGGGTTAGGGTTGAGCTCAGTGGTCCCACAAACTCCTTTTGGAAAGAAAAAAGAAAGCAGCATGCTTCCCCCATGCAATTCTGACTTCCTACCCACACTTCCCCATCCCTGGGCTGAGGATGAGCGTTGCGAAAATTTCAACCTCTCTCTAACACCCCCAAATCTGAGGTAGGATTCTCTTCCAGCTCTTGGCTTCCTTCTGGTCACCTCTAACAGTGGTAGGCCCAGGGTTGCCACCTGAGCCTCAAACTTTGGGATCTGCCCTCTTTCAAGTCTCCTGTTCATTTGCTAAGCCTCTAGTGCCATTTGCTAGGCCTCCGTTGGGCCTTCTGGCCCTGACATGATCCATGATGTCCACGTGGAGCCCGTCTACACCTCTAGGCCTCAGTCTCTGCACTCCCTGATCCAGAACCAGGATTGGCTGCTTCTCATCCCTGGGCCTGGCCAGGCCTCCATATTGCCTCACCTGTCCCCACACTGGAGACTGACACATCCCCAGGTCCCGATGGAACTCAGATGAGTGGCAGTCTTTCTTGTGGGAAAGGGAGGGGCTTCTTCCCAAACAGGAATTAGAATTCAGGAAGGCACTGAGAGCACACACACACACACACACACACACACACACACACACCCGCGATACAGTGTAGGGAACTGGAGAAGGTGCAGGAAGTAGGGCAGGGCTGCCTTGCGAGGACGGGGCGGGGGAGGAGGGGGAGGCTGGGAGACCCGAGTGGGGCCAACCCTAAAAGGGCCTTGTTGACCTAAGACCTTTCTGGGGTCTTTACGTAAATACTCCCTGTAAATTTGGGAGCCATCAATCCACTTTCTCATTATTTCCAAATTATTGGGCTTCTGCATTCCTAGAAATTTTCTCAATGCTAAAAGGGTCATTTTAAACCTACGTTGGACCCCCATTAACTAAGATGGTGAGTATTCAGTGACACTCTGTAAAGGAGAGGGAGGCTGGATTGAGCAATACTAAAGAAGCCATGCGAATAGGATATAGGGACTGACTGTGGGGTATATTAGCTAAGGAGACTTTTTTTTGGATATTTTACTATTTTTATAAATCTGCACATGACATTACAATGATCTTGGCAATTCATACATTTGTATCATTGGGGTATAATTTCTCATTTTTCTAATTGTACAGATTGCAGAATCACATTGGTCATACAGTCACCTATATACATACATCAATCATCTTGTCTATTCTATCCTGCTGCCCTTCCTGTCCTCCCTACTCCTCCCCTCCTCTCCCATCATTTCTCTCTATCCAATCTCATGTGACACACTTTTTTTTCTTTTTCTCATCACAACATCATATATGTATTCTGTATAACGATGAGGTTCTCCTTCTATCTTCCGTGCAAATCCCCTTCTCCCTCTTGTTTCCTCCCACCTCTCTTCCCTATTTAGTGGTAGTCTGCTAAGGATATTTTTGATTGTCAGAACATTCGATACAAGCTGCAGTAAACTCTAAAGGAAACTGATTTGCCCCCATAATGGAAAGAGTGTGGCCACCAAGCAGACATGGCTCAGCTGGTCCAGACCTCCATCACAAGAAACAGTTTCCTCCTCCACTGCCCAGACCCCATCATCATAGTCTACGGAGACCAACCTTACCCTACCTCAGGGCCAGGAGAGGGCCACACGCTGAGATAACCCTCAGCCTATCTCTATGGCAAAAGACTGGGAGTCATGATGATGCCTTTAATTAATCAGGGTTCACCACTTGGGCCAGAGGCAGTGCAAATTTCACCCAACCAAGAACTAAAATCCTCAGGCTAAAATCTGGGTGCTGTGAGCCACAGAAGGAAGGAATGGATATTGGGCAAGAAGCAAACCTTGTCCATCATGGAGGATGAGGCGAGGAAAGACGAGAACATCCCGAAAGTCTCTGGTTCCGAGGATTCCATGGACGTTGTTGTCCATAGCAAAGAAGGAGCAGGCTCCATGGGCCAGAAAAGTGAGGAGGGCAGTGAATTTGTTGCTGGGTGAGAGGAACAAAAAAAAAAAAAAACATGTAAGTGGAGATGGTTGATGGTCAGTCAGCTCCAGATCTTTCCAGAAACCCCACACAAAGGAAACCACCACCCAGTGACCCCTGTTTTTCACAACACCACGTTGCATCTCTTTAGCTCTGAAATGCTCCACAGCTATTGATTAGCCATTAGTGATTCCCTCCATCCCTGCATAAGTATTTCCCCTTCCTCTTGAATACCCGGCCTCCAGATGACTGGAAGTGGGACTGAGCAGGTGCAGATCAGACGACAAACATTCCTCTTAATGTGAGAAATTAATTTGTGGCTCTAATTGCCTCAAATTCCAAATGGGAAAAAAAAAAACAACCTCCATTCTCACAGCATTCAAAATACAACACAGGCTTTATCTGAATAAAGAAAATAATCTGTCAGGGGGGAGGAGAGGACTTCTGCTGCTAAAATGTCAATCTCACCACATTGTTAAGGAAAAGCAAGTTTAATTACATCCAAATCTGCATAGAATCATTTCTGAGTGTTGTGCCCAGGAGCCTAAAGGTCTAAGATTTCAGACCTGACAAAGGCAACAAGGAAAGAGCAGGCATAATGAGGGGGTCCGGCGACCCGTCCATCGCGTTGGAGAGAGTACCAGAGAGGAAATGTTCTCAAGTTGCCGTTTCCGTCTGTGAAAATGTCACAGAAAATTGAGTTTAGATTCTTTTCCAAAAATACTTTAGATTTTTTTTTTTTAATCGAACACAGCCTTATTGGTTGTTCTATATTCCCGTGTTGTATACCCAGGGAACTGACCTGGAATTTTCTAATTCACAGATATCAAAACAGGCTGAGGCAAAGTCCCCATCTGAAGTGATCCAAAATGCCAGTAGTGTCTGGGCTTGGTGGACTAGCCCTATATTGCTCCCAGAAGTCAGGCCCCTGAGCAACCAACTAAAAATAAAAGAAAGTTAGCTCTTTACTCTGTGGAAAATCAGCCTACTCTTACCCATCTCCCTTTCTGCAGCCCTCCTCCCTCACCAAGAGAAAAGAATGTGGAGAGAAAAACCAAGCCTCTGTGCCTGTGGAAGCCCCGTGGCATGCCGGGCAGTGTGCACAGAGGGGCATGCCTGCCACAGATCATCCCTGTCAAAGGCACAAGTTATGTTAGCTGAGCAACTGCTCTGCACAGGGTCTGTAAATAGATGTTAGGGAAGATTTAGAAGCTCAAAAGACCAGATACTTACGTGGCTCTAAGAGATGTACCGCAAGAGGCAGCAGCTAACCGCAGCCAGCTGCAGGCATTCCTATGCCCTGCATTCAGGCTGCTCCGCAGGATTCCTGCAAAGGGTCTCTGCCTCGTTCCCAGGGGCAGCCTGGTGATAACTAGGCGAGTTCCCTCTGGAAACATGGGTTTGCCTACCCTCTCTCTTCTTGTTTTCCTTTCCTTCTCTTCCATTCAAACCAAAGCCACTTGCGGAACTCAGTTCTTGACTCGGGGGCATGTCTCCTCATTCCTGTGTTGTCTGTTCTGCAATTTTTAGGAGCATCAATAAAGAGCCGGAAGAAAACAACAGGGAAGTTCAAACATGGAAATATCTTAAGGCAGTAAACTGAAGCTGAATCAACTCTATGAACAATAGTGAAGTCATATGCATAACACACACATGAATATTACAGGCTAAGTCCATCTTCCATAAGGACAATGCTTTGGACCCAAAAGTTGCCTGCAGAGGTTAGAAGATTCCTGCTAGTTCACCAGTGAGTATGTGAGACCCCTGAAGAAGCTCTCTAACTCAGGGTATTATGAAGACAACAAAAAGATTGGCTGAAAGTCAATAATTCTGTACTTTGGAATGTGAAACCACTTGGTACAATATACACACACTCACACACACACACATACACACACTGCAGTTTCACTTTCTGTGGTTTCAGTTACTGGTGATCAATCCTGGTCCAAAAATATTCAGTGGAAAATTCCATAAATAAACAATTCATATGTATCCACTGTTCTGAGTAGTGTGGCAAAATCTCATGCAACCTCCCTCCATTGTGCCTTGGATGTCAATCAGGCCTTCCTGTACGTATCCATACCATATATGCTACCGTCTCGTTAGTCCCTCAATAGGAATCTCAGTTGTCTCAGTATCACAGTATCACAGTACTTGTGTTCAGATAACCCTTATTTTACTCAACCTGTGTCAAGATCAATGACGCTGGCAATTTCATTATAGTGTTTTTTTATAATTATTCTATTTTTTAATGCTGTTGTTAATCTCCTACTGTGCCTAAATTATAAATTAAACTTTATCATCAGTGTGTATGTGTAGGATAAACGTGCTATCTATAGGGTGCAGTACTATTCAAGTTTCATGCATCTCCTGGGGAAACATGTCCCCCGTGGACAAAGAGGGATTTCTGTAGAGAGTCAACTGAAGCATAATTATACCACAAACACAATAAGGAACATACAGCAGGTTCTGATATTAACTTCTGATCTTCCCTCATCAAGGCGCTGGTCTTATTTGTATGGTCCTGCAGGGGGTTATTTTCCTCTCACATTACTCGGATCTGTGTCCCAGGCTGTTCTTGTTCTGTGCCATTCTGTGCTGGAATGGTTACTTCCTGATATCACTGTCATTATTATTAATTTCAGAAAATATCTGCCTCTTGACCTCAGACTTTAGAAAGAGGCTGCATCTCGTGTGGTTAGAGACGAGGGCTGGCTTTTCTGCCAGGCTTTCTGTCGAGTGCTTAGTCGCCAGTCGTGGATTACCTCAGGACTGGCTGTTTCTCCTTTGTGGCTTCTCTCTCTCTGAACACCTCTGCCTGCAATCCCTGTGCTCCTTAGAATTCCTAAAAAAGGAGACTAGGAACCTCAGAGCTTGCTCCTTTTCACAGGGAGAGTGATCTGCAAATCCAGGCAGAAACTGTCTCCCTTCCCCACCCCTGAAAATCCACTGGCAGCACCTCTGACATGCCCGCCTGCTGCAGCCCCGCAGCCCCGGGTCTGATCATCTGACCCCCTCACACCCTCCATCATTTTAGAACAAACTTACCAAATCTTCCCCTGACCCTAATGAGTCCTTGTACTCTGACTCTGTAGAACAGCATAATTGCATCCAAAACGAAGCCAAGACCATGAGCGTCTCAAGGACACGTGATCCTAGATCCTGGGTGATATTTTTTCCCTCATGCACCTTTCCTTTCCAGGGGTTGGTTGAGAATCTACACCAAAAGAATATTTCCCCCCAACTCGGTCCAGCTCTGGGTGTGAACAACCTGACAGAGTTGGATCTGTGAAACAGCATTGTTTCCAGCATGTCCGAAGGTCTCGGGTAACAGGTGGTCTGTGGAGGCGGAGGCAATCGTTGATCTTTGCAGAGCCCCCTGGATGTTCTTCCCTGAGTTCCTTCTCCTGCCCATTTCCCACTGGTCTTCTCTCTCTTCATGTAGAATTTATTGTCTGATATATGAACATTAAAGATAAGGAACAAAACTGGGTGTTTTGTTTGTTTGTTTTTTAGTACAAGTCGTTCCTTGGTGTAGGAGCTGCCTGGATATATTCAGAGGGAATTTAACACAGAGAGCATGTTCTGTTGTCCAGATGCATCCACACAAACCCGAGGATCACTAACGCCTGCTCCTGGCGGACGGCTTAGTCAGCTGGTCCTCCTGACTCACCCTGCCCTCAGAGTATCTTGTTCCAAAGCTCCTGCTGAGTTCCCATGACAAGTGACTTCCCTCAACCACAGGTGACTGGGCTTAGGAGGACCACCTGATCCCAGCTGGGCCAATCAGATTCTCTCTTCTAAGAAACGTCATTGAGGGGATGTGGCTCAAGTGGTAGCGCACTCGCCTGCCATGCATGGGGCCTGAGTTCGATCCTCAGCACCACATACAAAGATGTTGTGTCGCCGAAAAATAAAAAAGGAATATTAAAAAATTTTCTCTCTCTCTCTCTCTCTCTCTCTCTCTTTAAAAAAAAAAAAGAACCATCATTGAAATACAGAAAGTCTAGCTCTCCTCCTTTTAGTACTTATGCTGAAACATGTTCAAGGATGGGTAAATCATATTTGGTCTACGCAGAAATAGGATGAGTTCGATCCCTTTCCATTGCTTTCATGTGTGCCCTCTCTTCACTTTCTGCCTTTCTAGATAGAGTGACACAGCCTTGGCTCTAACCTTGGACCTCTCAACTCTGGAACAATAAGAAATGAATCTCTTGTTCTTTATAAATTTTTCATTCTCAGGCATTTTGTTATAGCAACACAAATAAACTAAGGCAAACAAATTTTGCTCCTTGAAAACAAAGGGTCTCTGAGAGAATGCTTCTCAGCCACTCGCCCACCTGGGTGAGGCCATCACTGTTGTCACCAGAAGTCACAATGGAAATCAACCCTTTGCATGCAGGGCATTGAGAGCCTGCACCCCTCGAAGAGCAAATCCAAATGCCTAAAGCACATCATACTAACTTGCAGTGCCATCGTGAGCCCAGTGGTATGCTGGTAAATGTCTTTCCTCGGGGGGAATAATCCCTATTTTTAAGTGTTTGCCAATTTCTGTGGTGTAAACAGTTGCTGCTTCCAACATGATATTGCTGAACAGTGTTTGGAAAAGATACTCCCAACTGTCTCTTAGGAGTCAGGACGGCGGCTGTCCAGCCCGTGTTTTTGGACCCGTCAGTACTTCTGGCTCCCTTTTATTGCCTCGTTCTTGTAACCTCACTCTTGGGTTAGTGGTGTGGAGTGTTATTAGTTCCGTCTTTTATTCTGAACCATTTACATCTCTTTTGGAGAAAACATAGAAAAATCATTTTTAAAGTACAAGCTCGTGCTTCTCTGAGGCCCCTGGTTTCATGCTCTCTCAAACACAAAGAGCTTAATAATAATAATAATGCCTCAGTCTTGGATGATAATGGACAGTGTCTATGTTACCTCAATGTCACGCCCTAGTGGCAAGAACGTGGGCTTTGCCATCACCCTGACTTGCTTTGGGTCCCCGTGAAGAGACACACTGGATGTATCTCAGATTAGTTCCAACACACAGAGGCATGGGTTCTGTGTGCAGCCTGACTCTTGGTCATGCGTGTGACAACCAGTGCACCACCCCCCTTTCTAGCCTCTTCTTGCCACTCTTCTATGTTCTACTTCTGAGATCAACTTTCTTAGCCTCCGTGTATGAACGTGCAGTATTGTCTCCATACTTGGCTTATTTCACATAACTTAATGTCCTCTAGGTCATTCATGAGCAATAGATTTCTTTAAGCAAAATTTCACACAATAGTCCTAAAGTAGAGCTGCTCCCCAATAGCTTTTTAAGTTTTTTTGCTTTGTTTTGTTTTGTTTTCAGATCTCTCAAAACATTTTGAAAGAGAAATTAGAACTGGTTGAATTGTAACCAGGCACAGTAGCACATGCCTAGCAAATCAGGAGGCTGAGACAGGAGGATCACAATCAAGGTCAGCCTCAGCAAACTTAGCAAGGCCCTATTTCAAAATTTTTTTTAAAATTTAAAAAGAATTAAAGGGCTGGGGAAGGAGCTGGGTGGTAGAGCCTGGGTTTAATCCCCAGTGCCAAAATGCAAAAGGAACTACTTGAATTGTAATGATGGTCCAAGAGGGCCCTCAAGACTCACACTTTCAGGTCTGGGAAGCCCAGGGCTCTGGGAGGACGGCTGGACACTGCTGCATCAGGAGGCCCTTTCTCTGCATGCAGATCACCAGAAAGGAAGGAGAGCCAGGGGCAAAAAAGATGAGCCAGGAGCTTCCTGCAATAGCTCAAAGGAGAGACAGGAAGACCTGAGCTAGCCCCGCAGACACCTCATGGGTAAAGACACCAGGACAGACTGGATGCAAGAATCACAGGAGAAGACCAAGCTTCCTCTGATGCTTCACGCTGTGGGATGGATTAAATTATTTGCCATCCGTAAAAAGGGCTCTCAAAAAGAGAAGGAAATGATCCGTTTGGTTTGGGGCAGGCCACATGCGTTTCTGGGACTATTTGGCTTTCTTCTTTCGTGTGAGCACTGGCCTATCCCAGAGAGAGGAGGCAATTTCCCTCAGGTGCCCACAGGAAATCAGGAGCAAGCAATGACCCCATCCTGCCTCACAGGCAAACGCCCAGGAGACACGAATCACAAAAATACACGCCAGTTGCAAGGGAACAGGACTTCAGGCTGCAAGCTCTGCTTACCCAAAAGTCAGACACATGGTCAAGGTCAATCTTCCAAATAAAGAAATGCTTTCTCTCTGCAGGCTCAATCTTTTTGAGGACTTGGGCTGGCAGCACTGCTCTCGGGCTGAATGCTGTCAGATTGGATAGCTGGCAAATGTTTACCAGGGCCTACTATATCGGGTGAGCCTGGAGGTGACATTCCTGGCTCCCCTTAGCATTCAGCCAACTGAAGCCACGGATGAGGTCACACAGACCTGTTCATCCTCCAGAGTGAGTTCATTTGTTTATCTCAAAGTGGTCCACAGACGGTGACTTCATGCAGTAATGACCAGGGACTCTGTGCTCCATGACCCAGGCTAGCAGCACTTGGCTGTCACCGTTAGAAAGCTGCCACAGAGAGTTCTTCCAGTGCCAATCTTCTTCCTCCCTCTGTTTGCCACTGGATCACCCAAGGAGGCAGATGGTGCACTGCAAACACATCCATAAACCCAGGCAAATGTGAGTCCTGTTGATAATGGAAATCCGATATTGGCCACACCATCACCAGGGGCTGCTACTGCAGTGGGACTGCGGGGGAAGAGAGACAGACTGCAGCTCGACCGGGGAAGAACCCAGTCCCGGGCAGTATCATCTGCTCTCCTCCACCAGCCTCTGCTGTGAAACCTCTCTGTGCCTCAGTTTCCACACGTTTCCAAAGGGCACCATGATAAATTTCTCCCAGGCTGGATGTCAACATAAAGAGAAATAAGCTGCAGGCAGATGTCAACACAGCAGCTGCCACCATCCCTGATACCCGTAAACGCTGTCCTTAAGTCCCATTCCACAAAGGAGTGGGCTGCCCAGGGTTAGGAGATGCCCTAGCACATTGATTTTTTTTAATCCAGAATTTGAACTCCTTTGTCTATAACAATGCAGAGGGACTTCAGCGTGGGTGGGAATGGACCTATTTCACTTACTCCAAAGCCACTTTGGTTGCTGAGACTGGAACGTGGAGCCCAGCTACATGGCTCCTCCGTGGGCACTAGCATTGCCCTGGGCTCAGTCTGCCAGTGTTCATGGGGCACCTACTATGCCCAAAGCATTGTGCACCATGTGTCACGGTGGTGGTAATTTTAACTCCAAAGATGAGCAGCAAGCTCATGGACACCCAGCCTCCACGGCCTTGGCCCTGAGTACACCAGAAGGAGGACCCAGGACGGGCACACGCACTCTTCAAACCAGGACTGTGTTCTATTTCTTCCTTTGGGATTATCTAAGGTCTTTAAACCACTCCAAGCTGCTTGACCACGCATGATTCAGAGCAGCTTCAGAGAATACCCTGCCGCGCAGGACGCTGTTTATCAAAACAAGATTTAAAAGAAAAAACAACAACTTTTCTTTCCATTTCCACTCTATTTCCTAATCAAGAAATGCAGAATCCCAGGAGAAAATCAGCTCTCATTTCTCTCCCCATCTCTGTTGGTCTGTCTCCCCCACATTTCCCTCTGCTTCCTTCGGTCTCCCTCAGTCTCCTGCTCTCCTTTTCTCTTGCCCCACCCCCTCCTGCTTTTATCATTTTAAGCCGCACGCATGCCATTCTTCAGGGGATTAAAGTCAAATTTAGTCTTCTGCAATTGTTATTCCCTACCCCTTGGCTTAGGAGATGCATTTGCCCTGCATTTGTAATGCATCAGTGACTCCCCCTCTCCTCCACGTGTAAACAATGCAGTATATTAAATAGCCTGTGTCTTGCCTTGTATTGAAACAGACGATAAATTAGGACTTCCAGTTCTTGGTTTTTACTGATTCCTAAACCTGCCAGTTACATGCCTGTCCGCCCCACTGAACATTCTCTCTAAAGCCGAGAATGCACAAAGCCCTTGTTCACCGTTCCTCCTGTCTCCGTCGCTGCTGCCGGCTGTCAGTTTCACACCACCAAGCAGATTGTAATTGGCAGGGTGAGGTGCAGAAATAGGGAATGGTTCGAATATGTGGTTTTACACACACACACACACAAAAAAA